TACTATAATTATATTATCATATTATTATTATATTATATTATATAATAATATAATATAATATAATATTATATTATATTATATAATATTACATAATATATATTATATATATTATATATTATATTATATGTTATATATTATAATATTATATTACATATTATATTATTATAATAGTATATTATAATATATTAAATATTAAATATAATATTAAATAATCGTAATAATATATAATATAATAATAAACATCATTATCAACCTCGTGTGAGCTCATCAAAGAAAGAATGCAGTTGTTTATATTTATCCACTTGATAATTTGTTCTTAAAAGCAGGGACTTCGGACCTATGGAGGGTTACGGATAACATCCTGATCAAGGATATGAGCAAAAAGATATTCGTAGTTACTGCTCGATTTGCTTTTGGCGTGTGTCGTACAAACTCCTCAGAAGTTATCAATTGTGATATCAAACATAACAAGCACATCATATTATTTTAGCAGGTTTCCGGTAGTCGATAGATAATGTCACCTTCCTTTTGACGTAACCCGCAACGACGCGTTTATAGGTTTACAAACGCATGCACTTCTATAAATGCCCATCTACCAAATAGTGGACCCATCTTATATACGTTCTCTAGCTGAAAGTTATCGTTACTGTAGAGCGAAAACGGCTTTTACGTCGATCCGTTACTGCTCCTTAGTCCAACAAAACAACGCCGTCTCGCCCGAGCTGTCTGCATCTGCACTGCGGTGGATAATTGTGGTACTCGATTGAAATGAGAACAAATTAGTACAGACGGAAAGTTTTTGTTAAAATCTTTGTCCTGCTGATCACACTGTCGACTTTCAGAAGAGCAGCAATGAGGAATAGATTATTTTTAAAGAGCTCAACCAAGTGTCTGAAATGACAGCAGTGTGTACAAGCCGGATCTTGAAGGTCCCAACGTGCAATGGCGAATAATGCGAATTGTATGATCATTCCGTTATGGACACTACATTCGTACGTGTATTTTGGAAGTATGCGAAGTATGTAGGATACTCATCAGTTGTATAGGCGGGCCAACGGATAGAATAACGTGGTTCCTAAACCTTATCCTAACCCAGCTGCTAAAATTCATTCCAACCCATCTACCTAACACCAAAATATTTCTAGATCACCTAAGGCGCGCGCAACCAAACAGCACGCATATAACGGAGTCATTCGATGTTACTTCACTTTATACCAACGTGTCGAATGACTCCGCTATGCAAGCCATAAACGAGCTCCTTATACGACACGAAGGAGCAATAAACATGTACGGCTTCTCGATTCAGCAGTTGATGACACTCTTAAAGGAGTGCCTGAAATGCTCAATCTTCAGATGGTCCGGGAGGTATTACGCACAAATGAGAGAGTTAGCAATAGGTCATCGACTGGCACCAAGCCTTACCATCGCTTTCATGTCTAAGGTGGAAGCTCCAGTTCTCGATCACCGACCCTTACTCTACTGTCGATACATAGACGACTGCTTCATCGTCTGTTCCACACAAGAACAGATGGAGAGTGCCTTGAATTATTAAACCGAGAGTCAGAGTATATAAAATTTACACGAGAAAAACCTACCGAGAACTGGCTTCCATTCTTAAACATCCAAATAAAGCTCTCAGAAAGTGGCTATTTAACAAAATGGTATCGCAAGCCAAGTAGTAAAAACATTCTAGTTCACTGCCTCTCCTCAGATCCTTCACACATGAAAAAAGCACTTATCAAAAATATGTATCGTACGGCTAAAAATGTGTGCACAGGAGAAGAGGAAAGAAAGGAATCGCGAAACCTGGCACGAAAAATTGCCATTTCCAATGGCTACGAAGTAGAAGCCACTCGGGTTAGAGGAAAACACTGGGTAGTTTCCCAAAATAATTTTTCAAACGAAAGTAGGATCCCCTTTAAGCTGCCCTTCATATAAAATGAAGTAAGTCACGCCATTAAAAAGTGCTTAAGAAAAAGTGGTCTTGAAAATTATGTAACGATTATTGACATCCCACCCAATACCCTACGCCGCCAGTTCGTTCGAAACCGTCTCTATGATCGTTTGTGCAGCTCAGAAAACTGTATGATCTGTCCTAACGGGAGAGACGGGGATTGCATGAGTTTAGGTATAATATACTTGATCTCATGTAATGCATGCGGCGAGGAATATATCGGGGAAACGGGTAGACCACTTTGTGTCCGCATAAAAGAACATCTAGATGGGAAAGCTAAAATCCGTTTAAACACCCCTCTAGGTACGCATAGGGCACAAAAGCACAACGGCGATGATTTTGAAGTGAATGTGCGGATCTTAGCGCAGGAATCAAAAACATCAACGCGCAAAACTCTTGAGGCGTTTTGGATTAATTTCAAAAATCCAAAGATGAACCAGAAGGACGAATGCATCACTATCACGCGTGACCTGGCGCCCTATTTCNTCCCAAAATAATATTTCACACGAAAATAAGATTCCCTTTAAGCTGCCCTTCATATCAAATGAAGTAAGTCACGCCATTAAAAAGTGCTTAAGAAAAAGTGGTCTTGAAAATTATGTAACGATTGTTGACATCCCACCCAATACCCTACGCCGCCAGTTAGTTCGAAACCGTCTCTATGATCGTTTGTGCAGCTCAGAAAACTGTATGATCTGCCCTAACGGGAGAGACGGGGATTGCATGAGTTCAGGTATAATATACTTGATCTCATGTAATGCATGCGGCGAGGAATATATCGGGGAAACGGGTAGACCACTTTGTGTCCGCATAAAAGAACATCTAGATGGGAAAGCTAAAATCCGTTTAAACACCCCTCTAGGTACGCATAGGGCACAAAAGCACAACGGCGATGATTTTGAAGTGAATGTGCGGATCCTAGCGCAGGAATCAAAAACATCAACGCGCAAAACTCTTGAGGCGTTTTGGATAAATTTCAAAAATCCAAAGATGAACCGGAAGGACGAATGCCTCACTATCACACGTGACCTGGCGCCCTATTTCAAAATGATATTTTGACCACAGGGCGTGTCTTGCTCGCGACTCCACGTGAACTACGTGTGGGCCAGTCCCGCACGTAACATCACGGTGAGTGGCCTTTCTGTTCAATATGGCGTCTATTTGAAAGTTTGATCTTCATTAATACTTTAACCTTCTTTTCCACCGAATAATAAAAAGTATTCTAACATAAAGTACGTCCAGGCTCTGAGGAAGGCGAAGTCGCCGAAACGTCAGCCATCGATCAATAACATCAAAAACAACGACAACGACAACGACAACGAAGATCTATACCAACCTCGCGTCAGCTTAAGAAGATCAGTTTATAAGATCTCATAAATAAATATATCAACTATTTATGCCGAGGTTCATAGAAAGTCGGTCTTTCGAGTTATTAAGAGCGACATCGGTTAGGCAAAACCCTCGATTTACTCTGTTTGGTACATTTCGCTACGGTTCTTTCCATTAGTAAACTCCCACGTTTAGCATTGAAATTGGTCTTTTTGGAATTGCGACTTGTCATGGACGGTCTTAGTCGCCATGATAAACTCGGACAGTTACTCAACCTGCTCGTTTCATTCTAATCCGTGTATCCCAATGTCATGTTCTTAAGACGTTCTTTTGGGTCCAATCTTAGCGTTTAAATCTCCAATGATGGCCTTAAAGAATGTATGGTCTTCTCTACAGGACTTCTCTAAGTCCGCATGGAACGCTTCGACGTCATCATCGTCACAGTTTGATATAGGTGCGCAGACGACGAAGGCTGTCAAAGTCGATATTGATCCACATCTCTTCAACTGTGAGTATCCAACATGGGTTCTTAGTTGTTCGAATGAATCGATGTTCTTGGCCAAACTCATGTCGACGAAAATACGCCCACGCCGGTAACTCCTCTGTCGTTGCGTGTTTCGAAGAACAGTTCTTCTCCGGTTTCATAGACGGCATTGAATGGGGGAAGTGTTCTCGTCTTACCCAGTGCGTTGACATCGTACCTTATTCTTCTTCTCCTGCATGACCAAGTCTTCTATCGACGACTCAGATGCAAATGTACCTGCAGTGTACGTATAGATCGTCGCTCTGATCCTTTGCGATTTAAGCAGCCTAAGTCCTGAAATTTTGGTAGCTTCTCCCTACTTGCAATACCCAGCGCTGTTATATCGGGGGCCCTTTCGAGGCTAGTAGAATGGGGCCCCGATACGGCAGCGCCCAAGAAGACGCCTACGCACACATGCATGAATGCATCCTCGCACGCACAGAACCTATGTATAAGATGAGCGCACCAGAAACAGGGAGTTCATCTCCTGGATCCCATTGGATCTCATAGAAGCAAAGGTACGTTTTGGTCTGAGATTAACACCCTACCCGCCACCTGGGGTCGCGCCACGCTTTCTCGCAACTAGTCGGCATGAGATCCCTCTGTGAGTGATATCCGTTGAATGAACCAAGAAGAAGGATAAAGCGTTTAGTGTTAATGACTGCTGGGAGATGGGCCATGTACTCAACACCATTAAGCTTCGTGAAGTTGACTGAGTTGCTATCTGGCCTATGTGATGATTTACGGCGGTCTACCGATGTATCAAGTCAGTGCTGTTATCCAAACAGGTTTTGTTCCAGCTTGCCGACGCTGAAGACGTGGAAGGCTTGGTTTTGTCGAAGCACGGGATCGAACCAACGGCTACGTATGTATTGCTCGACATCTTTGACTCGACATATAACGCTGCCTCCCATTTTCGTAATTGTGGCCAGAAATAATACTCATGATCGAAAACCTCTCATTGGTCTTCAAAGACCATGCTTTAACACCACGTTCGCTGCTTACTTAAATCATATCGGAGCACCTTCTCGGAAGTTGCTGTAGTGCTGGTGGTTTGAGTTACTCTAGGCGGTTTCAATAAAATAGCTGAAAAGGACTCTTTTTAGCAAATATGCACTCCAATTTTCTAACTGAAAATTTTTCATTAGAAACCACGCAGTATTCTTTATTACAATAAATGATGTAGTATAATATAATTTAATATTGGACCTGTGAGTTTATTGCAGTTGCATGTGATCTCGCCATCCTCGTCACTGGTACAACTTACTGCCGAACTACCGCCTTCGCAGCTCGACCAGAGCGTTGTCGTGAGGACGCTGAACGGGCTGACTGGCTTGGATAATCATCTTGTCGCGAAACAACCTTTTGTCGACAGTGAAGAGCACATTGATGCAAGAAGGTCTTTCCATTGTTCTATTCTAAATTTTATACTGGCTATTGCTAATATAAAATATGCGTAGAAAAAATTATGGGCAAAAAAAACAAAGCCACTTTTTTCTTTCGTTGTGTTGGGTATTTTAAATAGCACGGAATACGGATGAACACTGAAGATAAACGCTGCTATCCTTTAACTCATACCAGTTTATCGCTTTATAAGGATTAAAGAAAATGGCGTAACAGCTTATCAACAGAGCTTTGAAAGCGAAAGTATTAGAAGTAGAACAGTCATTTGGTGTGCCACTAAATGATGAGAAAAGAACTAGTACGTCTTCAGATCACACCTCTTCGTATACGCCTTGGATCGTAGTTCCCGAGTACCGTACTCGAAAGAAGATCTTATGAGGTTGGTGGATTTGATCTCGAAGATTACGGCCTGGAGAGCATCCTTAAATTAGTTCTGGACTACGCGAATCACTTTTAGTGCTTTGGAGCAGCATACGGCCTCTCTGTTCTCGTCTCCATCGAAAATCTCCCACATGTCCTTCCTGTCGTCATCGCCAAGCACTTATTCAGTGTTCGATTTCATTCTCGCGATTCTTTGCATCATTCTGTTCCTGTTGCTACTAGGCGCATGCTGTTTTCTTGGTTCGTACTACAAGCGGTAAGTATGTGCATTCATATTATGGTGATCAGAATGGTAATGATTAGGCGAAAGCGTAATGCAGAAATCCTGATCTTCGGCGCAAGCACATCACTAGAACAATGAAACATCGACCCAGTTAATGAGACCAAAGTATGCAATTTACTTTTGTAGTGATCTAGTTACTTTTCAGGTTATGACATCTTCTAAAGACTTCACCAAAGTTCATTTCATTCAACGCATCAGTTGTCTGTTCCGTGCAAAATACTTCCTTACTTGATATTTGAATGGCCCCTCCTCACTGGTCGTGCGGGCCCAATCATAATCTCCACTTTTCGGAGATTTGCTGGTTAAGCCATTATAGTCCCTGGAGTCTAGAGGTCGGCCTGACCAACGGCTGCTCCAGGTCTTTACCACCACAGGCATTCGCAGCCCTTGTGGGTCAGAGGCATATTTACCACCATGCGACTTCGATACCAGGACGGTGGTGGATCCTGGTATTGGTTTAGTCTTAGCTAGGCCTCCTGATGGAAACGCCGGACTCCTTCTCAGCTTGAGAGACCCGGTTAAGAGATGAATCCACTGTTGTACATCGCAGTCCGACACCTAGGAACACTTCCCAACCACGATGAGGCGGTAAACCGTTGAGAGGTCCGTGCAAAATAAGCTTTCTGTAATATGGTTACCAGTGCCTATCCTTAATATCACAACAGGTTCAATGAAAAGATTGATTCCAAAAGCGCTAACTACCTAATCTGAAATTGTTTGAGGAAAAACTTCTATGAACTGCTCGTCAGTTTCACTTCCGATTCATAATTTTCTCATGGAGATTGTTCTATTGATTTAAACGTATTCTTGATTTGCTGCGTCTTCAGGTTTTGTCGGTCGCATTTCATCTGTTTAGGAAACGAAAGGCAATTTCGAGCAGTGAACGAGAGTACATGGTGTCTTCCACTACCGGACCACGTCCATACGACGTCGAGGTCTTTTCACGAACGACCGCGCAGAGGGTGCTGTCAGCTAGACCACTCCCCGAGCCGCTAACAAATCAGTCAGCTGTTCCTTCTCTTCTTACTTATATTTCTTCCACGCCGAGTAGCGTTTCCAATCATAACATTTCAGGATCGAAGTTGCTGTTTCACCGATTTTTGTTGACAAGATGTTGACTGCAGACAGAAGCGTTACTTCGACGAATCATGCAAACAGTATACGGTACGTAGTGCGCATTTCGATTTCTGGAAGGGTAATTTCTGGACAGGCAAGATTTTGCAAAAGCTCACGGTCGCAGGATCATGACTTTCAATGAACTCTCACAATTATTTGATGGCGTAACCATACATTCGTAATACTAAAATGTGCTTGTTAACGTAACACATCTTCGAAAACATGAATTTCCCGTGAAATCGGCGATCCAAATCTTCAACCAGAGTATTACGAAAAACGTGCCATTGCGACCCATGATATTCGACAGAATGATGCTTGAGTCCGTCATTGCCCGACCGAGCACAAGCAAAACATAATGTTCGGTATCTTGCAATGAGGTTCAAATTTTACTGCAAAAGACATCTCCGTTTTATAGTATTCTCTTTTTGTTCAACAAAATCTCTGCGTCATGTTTCTTTAGGGAGAGACCGTCACTTCTACAGAGTGCTTTATCTAGACGGAAGGTCAGCACATTTAACTTTTTCCCAAGAATTTCTATTGATCATGAATAGGTCGTGGTTCAGGTGCATACTACCACGGCGGTCCCGGGTAAATCTCAGCAGTGAGCGTTTGGTGGTTTCCAACACAACGGGTCACAATAAGTGCATATGTATTTCATATCTTCCTTGTTAAAAGCTCAAACAATCTTGTCTCTTGCTATATCCTTTAGATCGGTGTTCATACATCACTTTCGCGCAATGTTCAGTGTGAAATTTTACATTTTGTGTCTTGTTAGCCCATTAGCCTGTTTTTACTGTGATGTATTGAAAATTAAGCAGAAAATAAATGAATTGTTGTGGAGAAGCGTAATGTAATCGGTGAAAACGGAAGCGAAAACTTATGATAGAGGACTCTATGAATGCGACTCTCTCGATACTTTAGTGGGACTTGGAGGTGATCCATCGTACTAAATCTTTTTCGAAACCCTGCTTGTTCACATGGCTACCCTTCGTCCACTGTTCTGCCAATCATGTTTAGAACAACTCGAGTGAATAGTTGTAGACGACAGACAGTAAGCAGATTGGGCGATAGATGCCGATATCGTGCTGGTCACCCTTCTTGAACAATAACACGATCTTGCTGGTCTTCCACTGAGTAGGGTCCTTGCATTTAGACAGGTAACGTGTGAAGAGCCGAGCCAGTGTGTTTACGAGGACTGGCGGAAGGTTCTTCAAGTGTTCTGGTCTTATCCTGTCCGGACCTGGTGCTGTTCGAATCTTCACCGACGAAATGGCATGTCGGATTTCTTAAGGGAGAACCGGTGGTACAACATATCCATCCTCCTTTATTTCATATGACGGAAGGTGGACGTGGCTATCGAACGGATCCGAGTAGTATTCGTGAATGATTTTCTCCATTGCCTTTCTGGACGTTGTAATTGTTTCGTCTGGAAGTCGAATGCTTTCCCAGCCTCTGCAGCTTCGGCCATTACTGCTCCTCTTCTCTCTTTAAAATCTTCTTTTATCGCCTATCTGCACTGTTTTGCAAGTTCAGACGTTAGTTCGCGGTTGCCTGCAGCTCGTGCGATTCCATGCTGGCGTATTAGCTCGGGTGTTTCTAGGGACAGACGTCTCTCGGTGACTTTCGAACTCTCAGCTTCCATAGCGCTAACGTGAAGATGTTGAATGAGCCGATCGTATCCTTCGTCGATGTTATAGACAACGACATCTTCCAAACAGCCGACTAATGAATTGAATAAGTCCCAGTTTACGGTGGTTCTGGGATTTCGGTTTTTGAATTTGACGGCTTTTTCTTCTTTCTGCGAGAAATAGAATCCTGCGCGAAGGAGAAGGTGGTCTGATCCTGTGTAGAATCTTGGAACAACAGCGACATCGGTTAGGCAAAACCTTCTGTTCACTATGATGTGGTCTATTTCGATATGGTACTCTCCATTGGGAGACTCCCACGTCCAGCGTTGAGGCTGAGGCTTCTGGAATTGCGAGTTACCATGGGTAGTCATGGTCGTCATGATAAACTCAGAAAGCCGCTTACCCTGTTCGTTCCATTCCAATCCGTGGGTCTCAATATTATCTTCTTCTTGGTCGAATCTTGGCGCTGAAATCTCGAATAAATGACCTTGAAGAATGTGTGGTCTTCTCTACAGAACTTCTCTAAATCCATTTACAACGCTTCGGTTTCTTTTTCGTCGCAGTTTGATGTCGGAGCGTAAACGACGAAGATTGTCAAAGCCGGCTTTGATTCGCATCTCTTTAATCGTAAACGTCCGATTTGGATTGTTAGTTGTTCGAATGAACCGATGTTCATGGACAAACTCGTGTTGACAAGAACGCCGAGGCCAACGACTCCTCTACTGTCGCATGTTCCGAGGATCAGTTCTTCTCCAGTATCGTAGGCGGTGTTGAATGGGTGGCGTCGTCTCGTCTCTGCCATGTAGATGGCGTCGTACCTTATTTTTCTCGCGTGCATGATCAAGTCTTCTATCGAGGACTCGGATGCAGGGGTACCTGCATTGTAGGTACAAATGGTTATCTCAATTCTTCGTGATCCAGGCAGCTTCCATTGGTCCTGAGATTTAGCAGCCTCTCCGTACTCGTCTCACTCAACGCTGCCAAATCGGTGCTCTTTCGAGGCCAAGGGAATGGGGCCGTTTTTTTTTTACTATGTTTAGCGTATAGCTTGCTGGGCTGTGAACGTGGGGCTGGGTATACTCACGGGTAGTTTGACAGGCTCTCCCAGAGTGAACATGGAGCTTATTTGTTGGAGGCGAGTCCTAACCGTTTCCCACGCATTTTCTTGTCACTTGATTTCAGGCTTTTGGTCGCACCGACTCGTAGAATACAATCCGCATGAAGTAAAACGCACCCACACACGCATATATGAACACGCCTCGTAAATACAGAAAGTATGTGCCAAATCGGCACAGTAGAGACAGGTAGTCCATCCTCTGGATCCACCTACCTCACAGTGAAGTAAAGGTCGCCTTTGGTCCGCGATTAGCCCCTATCCGGCACCTGTGGACGTGCTGCGTTGTCTCGTGATTAGCCGGCTCGAGGTCCCTCATGTGAGGTAGATCCGTGGTCCGAGAAACCGTTTATACACATAATATTTGCACTACAATCCAATGAGACTAGAGATACATGTGCAATATACAGTTGCGTAACATGTAGGCCGGTGTGACGTAACTAAAGAGGTGTACTCATATCAACACTGATTCTGCTACAGTACTCCCTTATGCTGTGTATTGACGGGAAGGTAAAGCATAAGAGGCTAGCTAAGGATGATAGAGCGACTTAACCGCAGGCTGAGGGAATTATGTATTGTATAATGATACATTATAGTTCACGGAGAGTCACAGAAATTAGCACCTCCACATGTTCCTTACTACATGTCGCCAGCGGGTTGTGGTGTTTCACGTAACCCATGCTAGGGGTGTCCCTTTGCAATGAAATGCAATATGCGGCGGAGATTCATTTCATTATCATTTCAACAGCTCATCCGAGCCGAGAAACAATTCGAAATTTCCATTTGGAAGATAAGTAAAGAGTAAGCTTATGCCTAAATAAAGCCTGACGAGCTCCCAGTCCCTACCTTATTGATGGAACTTAAGAGGACTCACATCGAAACCCTGGCTGATGTTGTTCGTTCTTCTGGAACATGCTGAACTCACAGAGCAGCCTTCGTGTGCGACATGGACGGGGGATGGATACTTTTCTGGTGCCCGCTCAAATCAACCAACGGTGAACGAGTTTACGGGTGATATGAGTGTTATGTACCTAGGTTAGAAATTCAACTTGAAAAAATAGTTAGGTTCACAGCCAAAAAAGACGAAGCAAGGAGCTAGGGAGAATTACTGGATCATAAACAAGACTAGAAAACATTCGGCTTCGCATCCGCTCTTTAATGCTAAGGTCTTTTCTCTACCTTAACACATTTACAGAAATGTTATTGATTTCAATACATGATACATGATACATGGCACATGAATGGCCCGTCCTCACTGGTTGTGCGGGCTCGGCATAATCTCCATTTTCCGCAGATTTGCTGATTAAGCCATTGTGGTTCCCTGGAATCCTGAGATCAGCCTGGTCAAAGTCTGCCCTAAGTCGTCACCACCACAGATAGCAGCAGCCCTTGTGGATCAGAGGGAGATTTGCCACCCTGCGACTAATTTGATATCAGGACGGTGGTGGATCCTGGTATTGGTCTACTCTTAGCTAGGCTTTCTGTTGCAAACGCTGGACTCTTTCTCAGCTTAGGAGACACTGCTGGGGGAAACAATCCGCTAGTATATATCGTAGTCCGACGCCCAAGAACACCTCCCAGCAATGATGAGGCGGTATACCGTTGGGACGATTGATTTCAATGGATACAGAAAAGCTACAGGATTTACGTGCATTAATTTCATCACAGTCTCCCTCCAGCTGTTTACTTTGTCGCGCATAATTTTTCTGCATTGTATTTTGCATACAATTTGCTTACCTTTCCCACGACAAATGTCGCACGAGAATGGTTATCGCCGACATATTGAGACCCACAAAAATCGGCTTTAGGGACGAGTTGATTCACCTCCATGAGTCTCGTTGTTAATTCATTACTTTCTCTATATTAGAGAGCAACGCACACTTTTGCTGCTGTGGTGGCTTAGAGTTATCTCTGTCGTATATATATATATATATATATATATATATATATATATATATATATATATATATACTGTTGGGACAGGTCGTTGATATAGGAATACCAAGTAGTTAGGACAATTCGGTCGGAATTAGCTGCTCGCCTTTGTTTACGCCACGCGGGACTTCTTGAGATTAGCAGACACAATGCCGGACACCTCAAACTTGGGTAATTAAACCGTTTATCATAATTATACAACAATTGTAACAATACAACTCTACAATTAATGCAACAATGATATGGGTAATGAGTAGGTGCAGCCTGATCACTGGTGTTCAGGTTGCTTATGAGTGAAGAGATTGGCGTAACAGTACAACTGCATAATTAATGCAACGACGATACGGGTAATGAATAGGCGCAGCCTGATCACTGGTGTTCAGGTTGCTTATGAGTGAAGAGATTGGCATATGACTTTTACTACATGAGGTGGAGGTGAGGCACGAATGCGGTGACTTGTGCAGCATTGCTGTGACATGAGCTAGCTAACCGTGGAGCCGTTTATATACCTTTGCGCTGGGCGGAGTCCAGATTACAGCAGGCGGAGTCGGGCTACAGTAGGCAGAAAGACGGGTGCTGGAAGCATTTCTCAAGCCTTGCGATCTGATAGGGCGATATTCAAAGCCTAGGACCGCAAGTGCAGATATTTTACGAGATAGGCGCCAGCGAAATGTTAGACATACGGCTATCAGATCGTCATGGAGAAAAGGTCATGGGAGAGGCATTTGAACTGTTCGGAAAGGTTATAATTGATTTACATAGAGAACATTTCAATATTCATGAAGAATGTTCTCTATATACATCACACACACACCGACACACACAAATGCACGAGTACAGTAGCAGTACCTTGCTTGTTGTATAGATACAACAACGTGTAAGACTGCTACCAACAGCGAGGAAATAACGTGTAGGACTGTTACTAATTGGAAGCATGCTCACTGTCTGTGCGCTGGAGACCGTCTGAGTACTTTGTCCAGTATGTATTCTTTCTTTGATGAGCTGACACGAGGTTGATAATGATATTTATTCATTTTCGGCTAACGTTTCGACGTCTTCGTCTTCCTCAGAGCCGATGATCCGAGTCGATGGTCCATGCTTGTTGTTCGTCTCGACGTTGCAGCTTCGCCTTCGTGTCGATGATAGCTGATAAAAACACCGACTTCTGCACGATGTGCGCAATGATGTATGTCCGGAAGAAATACAAGTTGTTACCACCGGACATTATCATTATATCCACCATCAGCATCGTGTATAAAAGGGCATCACTGAGTGAGGATGCCTCGTTCGAGAAGATGGCTCACTGAGGAAGACGTGACTCGACACGAAGGCGAACCTGCAACGTCGAGACGAACAACAAGCATGGACCATCGACTCGGAGACTCGTTGCGCTGTTTTCGTAGGAACAGGAATCAGGAAACCCTTTGGAAATCATTTGTTGAGAACCTCTGCACCATTTTTAAAATCCCGTACATTGTGTAAAGTTTTCCATAAAAACCAGTAGAAAACCGGCCTGAACCAGGAGATTGCGAAAGTCAAAAAGTACGAACAGAATAGCATCATTAAAAGTAGTTGAATGCATATCTGGCCTTTACAATGACTCGCGGTGGCCTAGCGATGTGTCGAGCCAGTGCTGCTATCCTCCCAGACAAGTCTGGTACTAATTTGCCGACCCCGGAGGTATGGAAGGCTTGGTGAGCCAAGGGCGCGGGGATCGATTCCATGTGCGTTTCAGGGCGCCTCCGACCACTGCGCCACAGCGCCCTTCATTCTAGTAGACGTTGCAAAATAGATATCCTATGGGTGTGGGTGTGCGGCGATATGCTAATGAATCGAGCCACATCTTCTGAAAACGAGGATCTTTTCCCGTCAAGCAATCACAGACCTCGCTACAAACGCAACATTCATCACCAAAGTCTGCGTTGGCGCGCTCCGATGAGAATGATGGCACCTGGAGGAGATCTCCTTAGCACAATTCCTTCTTCAGCTCTTTGGAAGCTCTAAGGTGGAGTTCTTTCGTCCGCTGTTGAAATCTACAGAAGCGAAGGTTCGAAAGTTACTCCATTGAAATACGGATTTTTGCGAAACCTATGCCGAATGTATGTATTATTGTTCATGCGGTCGCCGATGAAACGCTAGGACGGTTTAAATTTGAATTTGCAGGAGAGATGATGACGTGCTTACGAGGTCTGCAGGTGCTTCGTGTTAGCATGAAACGCTTTGCGTCGCTAGCTCCGAAGGTAACAGGTCTCGTTTGAAGAGGCACTTTCAGCCGAGTAATGACAAATTCAGGTTGAGGAGGCCCGTATGAGTGTTTCACCGGCTGAAATCCGGAACATAGGCATCGTTGCACACATCGACGCTGGCAAGACGACGGTGACCGAGCGTATGCTCTACCTCGCAGGTGTGATCAGACACATGGGCGACGTCGACTCTGGGGACACTGTGACCGACTTTCTGGATTTAGAAAGGGAACGAGGTTCGTAGTGGTTTCGGCGAGTTTGTATTAAACATACTGCTGTAGTACAGCTGCAACCAGCTCGTCCATTTCTCTGGTTGTATCAAAACCGTCATGAAATGAAGGCCTGTTGAATGTATGTGAGATGTGACGTTCATACTTAAAAGTTCCGCTTTCCTATATCGTCCGATTTGCAAGGTTTTTCTATTTATCTCGACATTTTGTAGTTGTTACTTGTTGAAATATTCGGAATCATGGGCTCTACTGGAGCTAACGGATCTGTGGTCCTCTTCCCTCGTTGACATGCTGACTGTTAGTGGAGCGCAGGTCTTGGAATTCATTGAGAACCATGCTGGATTGAGTTTGCTGCCTTGCAGGATTTCTGAAGGTTTTTCTATGCCGATAACAACTACTGAGATTAGTGGACTAGTCAACCGGTCGAGAATTATTATGTAACAGATCTGTTTCTAGTTGTATTTAAAAGTTTTTAAACGATATATTTATATAACGATCTCAATATTTGGATAACTTCGAACTTCTCGCATACATTTCTATAGCAATTTTATTAACGAGCTTTTCGGATTCATAATGTTTCAGTGGTTCTCAGCTTTAGAGGCTTTCATGTTGTTCTTAAGTACTTGGAAATTCCTGATAGCTTTAGTGATGGTAGGTCATGTGTTAACTATTTGCAGCTTCGGTTTCGATAGCTCATTGGTAACTGCGTGGTAGGAGGCGACCTGTAATAACACATGGGGATCGATCACTGCGCGCAAGAGTCACCAAACCTTCCATCCTTCATGGTTCGGCAAATTCGAAGCAGACTTGTCCGGGAGGATAGCAGCACTGGTTCGAGTAGGCCACCGCGAGTCAGCTCCAAACGATGATTAGTGAAGTCGAATGCATGGCGCATCCCTAAGAGATTGATCAACGCCGAGAGCCTTATCTTTTATCCATTATGCGGTCGAGAAGTTAGCCTCATGTCAAATTCTCCATACGATTCGCCGTTAGGTCAATACTCGTCGACTGGTAGCGTGGATGCGATGAAGCGCCTGTCAAATGCCAACATGCATTAGACTTGCTTTGAGATGAAGACCGATTGGACAGATGGTCTTCGTATTTCTGGTGTGTTAGGTAGATCTTTCTACATGTGTAACGAGATGTAAGGAAGTGCTACGCTGCACCGCCTGTCGTCTGCAATTGCATCGTAGCACATGGGATGTGAGTCGAAGTCCCATGGAAAAAATAAGCACGTCTAACCCTGCTGTGCACAACACTCTTCCCATGAATATTTGATGCGCTCACGGCGAGCTCTAGTAGCCTAGATTTGTCTGTCTTTTGCCAAAAGCAGTAGATGACAATGCTCTGTACGGAAAGTGTGGTACTGTTCGTGTCTATCAAGAGAGAAGAGCTATGCGGTCAGTTAACGTGTGTATCTGTTGATTCATTTGATGATTAACAAAGGTCCAGGTGATAAATCAGTCTAAAAGATTTGGACGCTTAAAATGTCTTTCGAGAAACTTTCCTGTGTAGAGAATTGACGTAAAAAGAGAGATGAGCGCTATTCACCCGGTAGTCTTCACTAGCTAATATTGACTTAACTCTATTTGTACGGCCGCTTATATGTGTGGGAATTGTTTCCACACTCACATGAATTTCTCAGGTATTTTAGGGATCACAATTCAATTGGCTGCGATAACTTTCTATTGGAAGAAGCATAGAATCAACCTCATTGACACACCTGGTCATGTCGATTTCACTGGTAAGAATGTAGTTGACTTATGTGTATGCACTTTTGTGTCTATTAGTATATTTTTATCACTAAGAAAACTTCACATGGGTGCATATAGCGCAGCAGTCGGAGGCGCCTTGCAATACATACGGGATCGGTCTCCGCTCCCAAAGCCTACCAAGTCTTCCATCCCTCTGGGGTTGATAAGTTGGCACCAGACTTGTCTGGAAGGATAGTAGCAGTGGTCCGGTACATAAGCAGGCCACCGCGAGTCATTGTAAAGACGAATTATGCATTCATTCACCTACAACTATGCTTAGTGATGTCGAATGCGTGGCGCATCCCTGAGGGATTGGTCAAGATCGACAGCTTTATGCTTTTGTCGTTTAAGGGAACTTGACGTCTAATAGGCGTACTAATATCAAACTCTTCTTTTTGATTTACTATGAATAACACTGATTTATTCGGAGTTGTACACTACTTCGCCTAGTATCTCATCATCCATAGTTCTGGAATATCTACAGAGCTGCTCAAATATGATTGTATCGTCTTCATTCCTCTTATGCATGTTTTTTCAGTGGAGGTGGAACGATGCGCCAGAATTCTAGATGGTGTTATTACCGTGCTAGATGGATCTGCTGGTGTTCAGGTTGGCAAATTGTGCTTTACTACATCTGATTTAGTTGCTTTGTTTAATGTTTGGGAAATATTCCCGTGCAGTTGAAAACTTTTGCTTTTTTGTGTCATTTAGGCGCAAACAATGACAGTATGGCGCCAGGCAGCTAAATTTCGCCTTCCTTCAACATTTTTCGTCAATAAATTGGACAAAAGAGAAGCAAATTTTGAAGAGTCGGTTGACTCAATGGAGCAGAAGCTTGGTGTTAAAGGTGTTGCTTTCTACTGGTTTTGAAATCGATGGCTGATATAGGAGCTCACCACTTCTTTAGCATTAGTGGTTGGTTCTCCGTACTACAGCGATGGAGTGATAGGCGGTGTTGTTGATGTGATCGCAAAGAAACACATTCCCATGTGTGTAGAAGGACAATGGAATAATGTAGAGGTAAATCTGAGCTTTAATGTCTTAACTGGGAATGCTCACACTGAACAGATTATTATAGTTGGCATCACATGTTGGTGAGGTCTTTAGCACTTACCGCGAAAGGCTTTGCTGCGATTTGTCCGATCTCGATCAAGAGTTCATGTCATTATTTCTAGAAAAATACAACGGAGATGCAGTATCAGTCCCTTCGCCAGTAATCATCAAAGGTTTACATTGTGGCTTCCTTTTTTGTTTTTATGATAAATATGTTAGCATTTTTCGGAGTATTACCTTGTTCCTTTTACATCACTAGTTTTTAAATCCGACAAATTCCTAGCATCGCTTGGGAAGTGTTTTGGCGCATGGATGTCGTTTGTCTGCATTATAGTCACAGCTGTTTAAAGTAATAAAAATGAGAAGAGCTTACATGAGGTTAATAAAAATTCTCTATTTTCGGCTAGCGTTTCGACGTCTTTGTCTTTCTGAGAGCCGATGGTACCAGTTGATGTCCACAATCGTGACTCAGAGAGTATCACAGACTCTGGACATCGGCGCGGACCATCGGCTCTGAGAAAAACGAAGACGTCGAAACGTTAGCCGGAAATAAAGAATATTTATCAGCCTCGTATAGACTTATCAAGGAAAGGACAATTGCAAGCAGCGATGAAGATTTCGACATAGGTAAAAGTGATTTTGCTAATGTTTTTTTTGAATGCAAATTGTTTCAGTACGGTCGGCAGTCCCAGGTGACGTGCTGAGTGGTGAATTCCAGAGAATTTTGGTTAACATGTTTATGCTTCTGGAGAATTTTGGCAAGTGATGTGGTTTAGTAAGAGAGCGAGTTGTGTAAAAGGAATACGTATTGCTCTGAGCAACGTTATGAACAGCAAAGTTTTGCTGTTGGAAATGCTTATCACTTTATTGCTTTTTTGTTGAAGTAATAGACGAAGTGATTTTTTTTTGTTTTATTTCAGGAACCTCTTATGCATTATATTTAATGTTTAGCATTGCGTCGCATGACATTGGCAAATCTTTCGACTGTTGTTGGCGCTGGGAGCGCCTTGCGATGTCCAGCTAGCATCAGGTCTCTGCTTGATCATGCTATCCACTTTTTGCCATCACCCGAAGAAAGGAATACAGCTTTGAAGAAACTCTTTGACAAGGAACTTTGTGCTCTTATATTCAAAGTGATCAATTTGCAATTTAGACTATCGCTGTTAGAATAGTTAGTATATGTTCAGAAGATGTTTAGATTGGTCACGATAAAAGGAAAGGAAAGTTGAGCTTCGTCCGAGTGTATACTGGAGTGTTGAATAACAACACTTTTGTATACAATTCTAGCCGGCAGGTAGCTGAAGGCCCAATTAAGGTGAGAGGAATGGGTCATAAATAATATTCTTATCTGGTCAAAACACCTAGAACGCAGTCACTGAAACCACATTGCCTGAGGTGTTCTTCAGGTTTTCCGAAGTATACGTAGAATGTATATCCGGGTACTGATACGGTGGCATACTGTTTAACTATTAACTTTCTGACGGGTAAAGTTGATGCTGATGGCAACGTTAGGTGGAAAACTAGCTGAGAGAAGCGCAAAGCAAGGGCCTCCGTGGTGCAGAGTGTAATACGCGGGCACCCGGAAAGGGTAATCGTGGTTCGATCTGGTCCGGAGTCCAAGTTTTGCGAATATCTCAGCTCGTTGTGGTTGTTTAACTTACAGTTTGGTGCAGAATTCGTTTGAAGTAGAACCGAAAGTTTATGATTGCGCAGTCTGTTTTGATTGTCGCGTTCCAAGATAACGGTTAGTTTCACCGTTTTTAAAGTGAACATCGTTTCAGTTGTTTCTTGCTCAAAGCAGCGAATTGTTGCCTGTTTCTGTTGTCAGTGAAGGGAACATCGCGGTAGTGAGCGGTTTGTCTTCTGCTATAACGGGTGATACCCTTCTGTCAAGGTGTTTAGTTATTGCATATTAGACTGTGTTTAAATGGTGGAAATGAGGATGTGCAGCCATGTTTGTGGAGAGAAATAGTGATTTTCCTGATGTGTAGCTGTTGCAGTGAGTCGGTTAGTCACCACTATGCCCATAAGAAATATTCTTCGTTGATCGGTAAGAGTACGCCTCCAGCCAGCGCTGATGAGGACACAACATCAGAAGATACAGATGATTCTTTGAGTGGCGATCAAATTGTTGTTGAGTCTTTTGGTGAAGTTAAAAACGTTGTGCTTAAAGGTATCAGTTTTTTTTATTTATCATAATATCCACAAAAATTGGCGTCTTATAGGCATAGATTCTCCGGAGCCTGTGTATTTTTGCAGTGTTGAGCCTCCGTCGTCTAAGTCGATTCATGAGTTTGAGCGTGCGCTAAAGGAGCTTGCTGTAGAGGTTGGTTTCCCATACCACTGTTCTACTGTTGGGTGCAATTCATTTCGTGTTATATTCACATTTCGAAGAACACCTGAATATTTGCAACGCTTAGCTGTTTTTCCGTCTCTTAGTTGGAACTAAGTAAACGTTTTGAGATATGCTCTTGCGATAATACTAGCCTAACCTATTTACACAGAGTGTCGACCTGGTGACGATAATATCATTTGGATTTCGCTGGTATCTTATTGTTTAAAAGATATCTATTTTTCAAAATTCTTTAGTGATCACTACGTTCTGTCTTGTTCGGCAGACATAGATTTGAATCCATGCTTATAAGTGTTAAGCTAGGATCCTTCACTACGAATTCGGTTTGATACTGAGACTGGCCAAATTGTGGTGGAGACTATGGGTGAACTACACATGGATGTCGTGAAAAATCGGCTAATTCGAGACTATGGTCTAAATGTGTTTGTTGGTCCATTACAGGTACGTTGTCAGTATATTGTGGCTGTTTGTGTACTTTAGATGTAAGGTCATAGGTTTTTTATTGATGTTTCAACTGCTAAAATTTTTATAGTCTGGCTAACTGCTTTTTGACATGTCACAGGAAAACGCTTCAACTAGCGTGGTATGCATTACAGGTTGCATATCGTGAAATTATTGGTGATGCCGTCTCACGAACAACTACCGTACAGGAAATTTTAAATGAGAAACAAGTCCATAGTGCTACACTCACATTGCACATCGAGCCCAGATCACAGACCGGGAAATTCAAAATGGTATGTCAGTCTCCAAAATGAGTAGTAAAGTCATAGGAGAACACTAGAAAGAGGAAAAGAATTATTAAGCAACGGCCTTCACATTTCTTCACTGCCACAGGTTATTTTAATGATCAAACTCACGTTCACTATAATGTTAGTCTCAGTGTCGTCATGCACTTAACTTTTCTTACTTGCTTGGATACTTGGATGCTTGTTCCGTCTTCACTGGTTGTTCGTGACCCAGCATAATTTCCAATTTTTCGGAGTTTTGCTGGGTTAACCATTGTGGTTTCCTGGAGTCTCTAGGTCATGCTAACCGAATCCTGCCCCAGGTCGTCACCACCACAAGCAGTCGCAGCCCTTATGGATCAGAGAGAGATTCGTCACCATGCGATTAGTTTGATACTAAAACAGTGGTGAATCCCGGTATTGGTTTACTCTTAGCTGTGCTTCATGATTGAAACGTCGAGCTCCTCAGCTTGGGAGACCCTGCTCGAGGGATGGAACTCCCCTCAGTACAACGCACCTGACTTACAGGGACATCTCTCTCAGCCACGATGAGGTTATAAATCGTTGCGAGAATGGTATTGTTATCATATATGTTTTTCTTTCTTCGTCAAAGGTAGGAATTGTTTAACATGTCGCGGCTAAATCGACTCTGGGTCAGAGGGCGTGGTGGTCAGACGCTGTGCAGTACTATCAGTTGTCTGAGAGTAGTTTCCATCCTAATTCTGATAAGCTGTTCCAGTTTTGCCTGGATTTCTGTGTTGACTTTTTCTTCACTTTCTTATTTCCCACTGAAATCTTTGGCAACGAATTTGTAGAACGTTCGAGTGAGGGTCATTCTTCCAACTAATTGAAGAACATGTGCAGTTCGCCCTCCTAGCTTTTCAGATTGGCAAGTGACAGTTTACTATTCTGGTTTTCTTCTAACGCGTAAGATACGAAGATCAGATGGTAGGGTGATAGGATCTCATGTGACATGAGACAACTGATAGATACCTAAAGAGATTTTCGACGTTATATTGTCGTAATGTTGGTTTCTTATCGCGCGAATGAGAATGTTAGTATTAAGTTTCCTTAGATCACTCTTCCTACCCTTAATGTTCTGCATAGCGAACAGTTGGAAATTGGTGTGTCTCATAGCCAAAACATGAGCATAAAGATCGCCGTCTGTCTTATAGGAATTATTCTCTATTCCTACAAATTCTTTGCGCATACGTTTCTTACATCTGCTGTTGTGATCCCTACACTTATATTCGACTCGCTTCCTCGCATCCATCACCCTCGAAGGTCTTTTACTTGTAACCTTTTGCATGTATGTTCCGCTGCTAGTTTACGGTTTTCCTTTCGTTATGAATGTCCTTTTAAGCTGAACAAACCTGACTGAGTCCTGAGATAGCCTGGCTAGAATGTACCTTCTTGGAATGCAGAGAACGAGCTTTTTCCCGACAAGTTAGGTACCAGTTTTCCGACCTCGGAAGGATGAGAGGCTTCGTGAGCCTGGTTCAAGATGGAACCAGTACCGTGCTCGTGATGGTTGGGGTCACTACAAGTACTACCTGACACTTCTACATATATTATCAAGAATTGAGAGACAGGCGAAACGAAAGACACGCATGGTTATGGTGGTGAACACGTTAGCTCCTGGAAATAGTAATAACGCGTTCGTTCCCCACCGCAGACACCTGCGGTACGGAGTTTTGCAAATATCTCGGTATCGTTGAGGTTGTATTTCGCATAATACCCTGCCGTGAAATTTGTAGTAGGCGGAAATTAAAAAGTAAACATTATCAACAGTTCCCAAGATCGACTTTCTCTTAACCTCGGCATTGGAATATGAATGTGTCGTTTTCTTGTTCAGCAATCGCGAGGTTTTTAAACAGCATACATTTACTTCCATAAAAACACAATACAATACAACGCTAGCTGACGTTTCGGCAGTATCGCCTTCTTCAGAGCCTGGAAGGGTATATTGATATACAATCTACTAGGCCAAACGCTTCAATAACACTTACACAAAGACGAAAGACTCTTTGGTAAATACACGATCAACAGCTTCTCGAAAAACCCACCGCTTTTTTGTGACTTCCAATGAGGAAGTTTAGAACAGCTGATTATAGTCGCATGTGGTTGACGACTGCACCATCCCAGATCAAAAATCGATGCGAACGTACGGGATCAGGTCGCGTATGACCTCCGGGCATTCGTCCCTGCTATTCATTGTAGGGTTTTTGGCATTGATCCAAAAAGCCTCTAGGAGTTTTCGCGTTGGTGTTTTGGACTCCTGTGCAAGGATATTGACTTTCACTTCAAAATCGTCTCCGCTATGCTTTTGTATCCTATGCGTGCCTAGTGGGGTGCTTCGTCTTAGTTTTCGTTTGCCATCTAGGTGTTCTTTTATACGGATACACAAAGGTCTACC